ATTAAAAAATATGTTTCTGATTTGCATTTCGGTATCAGAAATGCGTGATAATCATTTCAGGCCACTGGCTACAACTCAGTGCCACATCATTCAGTGTCTTCAACGAAAAACACAAGCGGAATTCTATAGACCTTAAACCGGCCCACTCGAATCCCACCTGGCTGTTTCATCTAATCGTGTCCAATTTGTGAAAGTAATTCACTGAGAGGCACGCAAACGGGAAAATAATACCGCTTCTGGTACCTATTTTGTGACAGGAAATGAAAGAGAAAGGTTATAATCCATCGTTACCTTCCGCAAGTCCTGACTTTGAAATACTAATAATAACAGAATGCACTTTTCGGTGCTCCATACCTCAGTAAACAGTTTCAAAGGCCAGGTAGATCCATGGAGTAGAAGACTGCTCTGGTGGTCAGAAATACAGTGGTTTGTCTCCTATATACGTGTGCTATTGTTTAAACAGTCGACAGAGGGTCAAGATTTGACCTATGCAAAAATGATTTCCACAGCATTCTGCTCTTGTGGATTTGTTGTTCGTGAATCCTATTTAATCCTTGTAATATATAAACGTTTATAGTTCAGGACTATCGAAATCATACTTTTACTCTAGTGGTTGGAACAAAATCTGTACCAGCACCTCCAGAATGTAACAGTAACAGTCTACTTCTCCCATGTGGATGGTCTGATTCCTTCCTCTCATCTTTTAGACATTAATCTAGTCGGTTCTCTTGCGAGAACCATTTCCTCATATTTAGGTAGTGGCTTGTATGATTTAAAAATTTGTGATACAAAAGTTATCTATCCTTTGAAATCTCTATGTATTAGGGTAGTACTGTATAAAGACGGGCTCATTTTTGGGAGACAGCTCTGGGAAACCGCTGCAGGATTTGAGCGGACGGGGCTGCGAATTGTTCTGTCCAGACTCCCAAACTACAGTGAGCACTATTTGCTGATGCATTAAAGAACTGTGTTTGAGAAATTTTGTAGAACAAGGGGAATTCTAGCTTTCATTGTCCAGTGGATGAGGCCATAGCTTTGTTAACCAATTGAGCGCACTGTCTTGGATAGGTACCCAGTGCTGTTCTAAGTTTTTTAATGAAGTAGCAGCCAACCTTGTGACCAATTTATTTTGACAATCAACCAACACGATTAATGTGGGGAGGCTGACAACGCCAAAAGTTTACATATATTTTTCTGTGTTGAAGAACCCAATCGCACGAACAACCTGGTACATTCCAGTGTGTGGTCAGAGTTAAAGCCGAGTTTCACATACCCCCGTCGTCCGTAGCTGATCACAAGTGTCATTGAACCGTGTCTAGGTTTACTTCAGTGAAGTTTCACTTGAATTCGTTAGGGGAAACTTTGGGTGTCTGCATATTTGCTAAACGAAAAGAAAGTACTCTCATCATAGACTTAATTTCTGTTCCCATTATCTGAGTGGTTGTTGTTCAGTACTTGAGGATCTCTATGAGGATCCGTCACCAGGCGGCACACAGCCAAAAGAAGTGATAACATCCCCGGCTAAGATCACGATGATCACGCTTTAAGAAGAAATTCGTGTAAACTATGATAGAGATTGTCTTCGACTGCATCTATACAACACGTTACACAGAAACCATGCTCAGGTACCGTTCGCTTGACTTTAGTTTGTCTCCCTTAAACGAACCCCTGAGCGCAACTGCTCACATTTCACCGTCTAACATAATACGTATGCACGTACGTTTTCTGATCATAGTACTGTTCATAGTATTGTATTTTATGTAATGCACAATACACATACCTTTGGAGGATAGCAACTCGCGTCCTCGAACGACATATTTGCGGTCGAAAATGTGGCTATCATTGACTCTAAACCATGGTTGTTACGTTGTAAAAAATTAGTCATTTGGATACCCTCTGGCTCTGTCAATCGTGATTCCATATCCTGGATCATGTTTTGAGCGTTGTTGAGTATCAGAGTTCATATCTTTTTTTCTATAAGATTTGGCTGAAAGAAACAGTGCATTAAGATTATGTTGGTCAACAAAAGATCAAACTGCTGCGTATTTCGCCCAAAAAGAATGATTAACTTGGCGTATCGTATTTGTTTCTTTAGCTAACTACTTGTATGTTTCACGAATAGATTTCACGCAAATCAGAACTGTTCGCCCGTCATCACTCAGCAGTCTGTTCGCTGTCAGGGGAGTGTTTGCAACGAGCACTATCTCGGACATTCATCATTCTTCTCGTCATCAGCATCCTTATTATCCACACCCAACAACTGCATCAACAACCCCTAAAGGGTTGACAACACAAACAATCATTCACATATCACCTTCCTTATGCCATATAAGGACCCTCCATTGTTTTTATAGTACAGAGCCAAAGGAAGCATTCACTACTCGCCAGCACATACCATTATTTACTGTTGTTGACTAAATTATTCCTCATGGTCGATGCATCGTGGGGGCCATTCATGCCCCGCCCACCATAATTCTTCGAACCACAGAACAATTACTACCCTGTTCTGGTTCCCGATTCCGTTTCCAAGGTGTGTGTGTGCCGGAGAGCGAGAGAGAGAACGATCGGATGAGTTTGTGGGACCAGTTCTCAGCTGACACTGACTGATAAGTGGTAACGCCTCATTCCTCATTTGCTGTGTTGTGAGTGCCTTGTCTGGGCACAATCTCAATCGTCCACAGACATTGGCCTGTCAAATTAACAAACCACCAGTTTATTTGCTACCCCTAATTGAGTGACAGATTGCTCAACTATATCTTTACCCATGTCTGTATGTGTGTAATCGCTCAACCATTATCGTGCTGCAACGGAAGAGAGCAACCAAGTGTGTGTGTGTGTGCTAGTGGTTGAGTGGGTGGGACGGAGTGAGTACGAGTTAACATCAGAGAGTGTGGCTCAGATCCAGCCTGTTTCTCTTTCTCCATTTGTGAGTGGTTTGACTCAGCGCATACAGATGTGAATGTGCTTGTGTTTCCCTATTTAAGCTTGATCGTGATACACACACTTAT